GGGTGCTTTGGGAGGAACGGTTGGAGCAAGGGCTGGAGGGGGGAGGCAGCATGTCTGGCCTGGCAGGAATAGGCCTTGGGTTACTGCTGGTAATCCTGTCTTCCTCTTGGAGGGTTAGAGGAGGTCAGAACATGTGGCCTCCTTGCTGTTTTTGCAAGCTGTTTTTACATAAATACATTTGTAATAATTATATCTTTATAAACTTTACAAATATTATTAGACATAACAAGTATATATTCACTAACTCATATATATGTGCACAGTTATAAAGAATTTATGTGTATGTGTGTGTGTGTATACACAGATGATATGTAGGATCATTTATTAATGTGCACACTGGACTAGCATCAAACTCTTATCCCAACAAAACCAACTAATCAACCAATTAAAAAAAAAAAGCTGATTCATATACTAAAGTATAATGATTTAAAGTGTATTTTAAGAGAGCTGAGAAAGTTACATGAGTAAAATCATTATATCAGTTTTTTATAACTACTTTCTTAAAATATATTTTCAATGTTTTTAACGTTTATTTCCTTAATTGACTCAAATGTTGCTTTTAAAAAATGTTTAAAATTTTTTAAGACTTTTTTAAAAATTTTTTTTCAAATTACAGTAAAAGTGGGTTTTGTTAACCTATACAAGGGGATGACAAACTATAGTCCTGGCACCAAATCAAGCCTGCCCCTATTTTTATACAGAACGTTTTATTAGAATACAGACATGTTCAAATGTGTATGTGTTGCTTTCATGCTACAGTGGCAGAGCTGAGTAGTTGTGTGGTCCAAAAAGTCCAAAAGATTTACTATTTGTCCATGTACAGAAAAAGTTTGGCAACCTCTGACCTATACGAAGAATTTCAGGGAATCCAGAGTGTGTGTGTGTGTGTGTGTGTGTGTGTGTGGGAGGGGGGTCAGATAAAACAAATGCAGGTTGGGTTGTCACTAAAAACACACCAGTGGTGGTGCCATGTGCTACTCATGACACTGAGTTTAACTTGCTCCTAAACTATAACTTCTCTCCATTTGTACAGCCGCATCATTTACTCAGACAATTCTCTTTGGACCCTAATTTTGGACCCTCCCCCCAAAAGATTCCTCTTCTTCTTCCCACTACACCAAGGCTCCAAAGCTATTCTATCTGTGTGACCAGGCTAACCATTAACTAAGGATTCAAAGAATCTTCACTGGATCAAAATCTCTAATTCTGTGAATTCATCAAATTGAACTTTTTTTTTCCCCCTCTGCTCAAGTATACCATTTTTCCCAAGTGAATTTTCTTTTCACTTCCTTAATTCAATATTAATGTTATAAGAGGCCACAATGTATCCTCTAAATTGATAGACAGCCCTCCCTACCTTTTAACCCATACTTTTTAAAAACATAATGATAACATAGACCAACGTAGTATGTAGGTTTTCTGCTTATAGTCATGGGTTAAAAAGTTATGTTATACGCTCAGTATTAAATGTATAGCTCTCCATCATTAACTTTGCCCCAAACCGCTACTAAGTCACTGTGAAAACATGACTTAAAACATCGAAGGCCTGAGACTCTAAAGTTCATAAGCTTCTAAGTAATTTTGATATACCAGGTTTAAAAATAGCTATTTTAAATAATATTTTCAATTTATTAATGAACATGTTTTAATGGGAAAAATAAAAGTAAAACATCTATCATTCTATTTAGATTATTTATTACTTCCTTCAAAAAATATTTGCTGTGTATCTATGATATGTAGTTACTGTTATAAGCACTAGTGATACAGTCATGAACTAAAAAGTCAAGGATTTTACCCTCAAGGAGCTCACAATTTAGTTGGAGAAGACAGACAACAAACAGAAAAACTAAATAATATGCCATACACTGTCATGTAATTGTTAATGCTGTAGGGTAAAAACCCCCAGCAGTGCAAAAGGAGAGGAAAGAGATAGTGGTTACTATTTTAAATTAAAAGGATATTAAATGTTAAATTATTTAGGAAACTATTATTTGATCTATAGGGATCATCTTCCTTTTAAACAAAGACAATAACAACAAAACACCAAGAAGCAGTACAGGGTGAATATATTCCCAAATAACCTACGGTGAATATTCTTTTGTTTTTAATTCACTGAATTTAGATAACAGAAATAACTGAACAATGATTCTAAAGCTTTCCTAGCAGTATTAAAAAACAAATTGTAGGTATAAATCATTGACACATGTATGAATTTTAGAATTTAGAACAGTAGTGGTAAACCAATCAGTTACATGTTTATATATGAATAATAATTACATAAAATATTAAAAATTACTAATTATTTAATTATGTAATCCTAAAAGTCTTAAATAATCTTTTTATGTAAATTCTCATAGGAAATCTCTTCCACTTTCACAATTTAAGAAGCTAATGATAAAAAAGTGTTGTTGCTGTTAGGGGTTGTCAAGTCAACTCTGACTCATTGCAAACTCATATACAATAGAATGAAAACACTGCCCGGACATGTGCCATCCTCACAGTCCTTGCTGTAATTGAGCACATAGTTGTAGCCACTGTGTCAATCCATCTCACTGAGGGTCTTTCCCTTTTTTTGCTCACCCTCTACTTTACTAAGCATGATATCATTCTCCAGTAGTTAACACTATTTATATAAATGACAAGTACTCTAGCACCTCAATTTACTTATGTGTTCCCTTGCAAATTAGTAATATTTTGTACTAAATATCTGTTTACTAAAAGAATAATAAATATTCACAGAAACAATTTTTTAATCTGAAAATTGGTTCAATAAACACTACTATAAGTTTTTTTTTTAATTTAATAAAAGAACACATAAAATGAGAAGCTGAAAATGAGTAACTATAAGTGTTAAGTACCAAAATACAATTAGAATGATAGCCAAGGATCAAATGAAAAAATATTAAGCAGTGATGTGAATATTCAGATACAATGGTTTGCTTTGTTAAAATCTTTGTCAGTTCTAACTATCGTAATGGGAGTATTTTACTAATTGTCCATTATTATATTCAGATACCCAAAGACAGTTTATAAATGACCTTGCTGAAACCATATAAATCATGGTAATAATATTCCCAGTTCCCTCAGTCTTCTCAAATTACCATAAGTAGATGCTCAGCATAACTCATATATTCCATTACAGTCTGAATTAATAGCACAATTCTACATTTTAATATTTTTTTTAAACCATTAAAGAGAGGTAGTATGATCACTCCAGCTGCTTTAAGAGTTCAGAAGAACTTCCTGCTATCTGTTTCCAACTATGCCTGCTTTAACTTCAAATTGTTTTCCACCACCAAAAATATAACCATACCAAGGTAAAAGCTGAAGGGATGATAAATGAATGGTTTAAGTCTATTCAGCACAATTATTTGAGAACATTCTTCTAGAGATCAAAATTTTGAGTCACTGCAATTATCTCCTGTTAAGAGTAATAGTTACTCTGCCAAACAGTGCCCCATCTGCATACCCTTCCAGGAAATTCTTAGAAACTAGGCTGTGGAGAAGTTAAATTAGAGTCATCCCCAATGCTGGAAGGTATCTTTAGGTTAGTTTGTTAATACCACCACCAAATTCCAGTGCAAACATTTTTTGATATGTTCACAGACCTATAAATAAGTGGCCTGAATTGAAGATCCAAAGGAAGTATTTGTCACAATGTAAAAAAATACAGGTTTTGGATTCAGTCAGATCTGGGAATGAATCTTGGCTCTGCCTCATACTACCACTTGATCTTAGGCAAGTTATTTAGTCTCTTTGATATTCAGTTTCCTCAGATATAAGATAATGTACATCTATTACAGTAGCAGTAAAGTTTAGAAATAATGTATTTAAGGCACTTAGTGTAGGACCTGGAACGTAGGCTCTCAGTAAATGTCATCATGAATAATAAGATCCACACAGCAAAATCCACTGTATTAAAGATATAAAAGATGTTTCCATTGATTTAAATGCCTTATAAAAAGGTTAAAGTTAAAATAATTTAATTAAAATAGCTTATTACCATCAAGTTCACAAAAGTGATCCTGTGAATCATCATATCTTGCCCAGTCAATGAAAGCTTCTTTGCTTTGATTACTATGGGAAGGAGGAATAAAAAAGAAAAATGATTAAATTTGGAGTTGAAAAATTTAACACTGTCTTCTAGTGTAATTTAAAAAGGTAATTAGAAGGTGTCAAAAATTCAGTTACTAGAGGTTACATGAAAGTATGATAAAAATAAGTTATATGAAAAACATAATAATAAAATTCCATGAATGATTTATACTTCCTAACTACCTTAAAATTATTATTGCCCCTAGTTCAATAATAAGTACTTTGATTAGAGAATTAACTACAAATACATATAACATGTAAACAAAAAATCAAACTGGCCTTTTGAATTAACTTAGAAATTATAGTAAGTATTTATATTTTAACCTGAGGTGGGACTAAAATTTATGTTCAGAATCCTTTTCGTTTAAATTGCCTCTATACTTATAGGTCTTTGCACATTTCATCAAGTCACTATGAGTCAGAGATGACTCGACAGCACCTGCATTTCTATGGTATCGCATCCAATGTGATATTTACCAGTAACATCAAAGTCACCTTTATCATGGTATAACATCCACTTTACATACTGATATTTTGCATTTAACAAAATTGATGTTCAAAATTCCTAACTTGGAGAAGTGATAAAGAACAACTATGTTCACTCAAATAAATTTGACCTACATTAACTATAACCTATAATCAGATTTTCTTATCTTGAATATATATGTTGGCAGCATCTTTAGGAGAAATATTATTTTACTATCCTTCTTTACTACTACACAAAAGGAAATAAACAAGGTAAAAAATAAAGTTAAACTATATCAAGTATCAATCAGGTAATGCCTAAGTATGATACTGTCACAGCTAAGCAGTTATTTTGAATAGGAGAAATTGCCATGTAACATTTTTTTTCAAGTTTATAAGGCTGACTGTGCTGTATGAACTTTATCAATAAATTTTTCCAATTCAATATACCATGGGATATTTTCTCCCATGGGAACATACAATTAATAATAAAATTTAATGGGAAAATATATATTACAGTTACCGCCGGTGAAATACATGATGCCATTAATCAAGAATGCCTAAGTACTATTTACAGCTAAAATGATACACAGTTAAATCAACATAAGATATTATGTTGAAAATATGAAAAACAAGTCAATTGTTATATAATCTCCTATTTTCTTAGCAATATAACAGATTTCTGGAACCTTTCTCTTTGAGCATCTTTACTTGATGAGGCTTTGTTGATTATTTTATCTAACCCTTACCTAAATCCATGGTAGCTGAAAAGATATCTGTGTCAGACTAGGTTCTCTAGAGAAACAAAACTAGTAAAGCTTTTATAGAGAGAGAAAGGGAAATTTATCTTAGGGAAATGGCTCACACACTTGCAGAAGCTGGCAAGTCCCAAGTTCTTGGATCAAACGTAAAAGCTGGAGGTTTTTCCCAACTCACGCAGCTGCAGGGGCTGAGGAGCTCAAGGTTGGTAGCCAGTATGCTGGCTATAGCCTCCAACTAATGACAAATCAAAGATATCCAGGCCGAATGGTGGATTGTTCACTCCCGGACAGTTACAGGCAGCACAACAGTTTCCCAATCCACAGAATAGTGTCTCTTTTCCCAGGATGTCCATAAATATACTGGAAGCAGGCCACACTCCTAGGGAAACTCCCTTTCAACCGATTGGCTGCTCAAAAATATACATCTGATCCCATCATTGGAACAACCTACATCACAATTGCTTAAACCACACAGAATTGTGGTCCAGCCAAGTTGATACACAGCTCCAACTATCACAGTCCACCCTTTGTCAACTTGGCAGTTGTATATGTCTTCTTAACTATATATAATCTCTAAATAAGGACAATTATAAAGTCATATTTGCACCTAACATGACACGCTAACACATGTACAACTGAAAAGCATTAACCTTATTTACATTTCACAGTTCATAACAGAAGGAAACAAAAATATTTGATGACATATACAATGAAGAAATATAACAACCACAGTCCTCATTCTGCAACAGGTCACATGGTTGTAGCTGATACTCAGAACTACCTTCTTCCACCACCCATTCTGTATTTCCCCTGCCCTTAGAAAGCACCTCAGCTGGTTGTGGTTCTTTGCCTGGTGTGGTGACTCAAACCTTCATTCCTGAAGGGTCTGGGTCATTAACAATCATATCAGAATTGGGTTGCTATAATCTTCCATTGACTTTAATCACAGGATATAGTAGTACTAAGAGACATCCTAAAGAATCTCCTGAATTCCAGACATTCTTTACCTCCATTATGTAATGTCAATCCAATTTCCCCTTGGTAATCAGGATCTATCACACCAGATAGTACAGTTGCCCTTATTTGTCTGTTGATCCAGGGGCATGAGGAAACTAAAATGGCCAGGTGGCATTCCTAATTTCCAGTTCAGTGCAATCAGTATTGTGCCTCCAGGTGGAAGTGTTCCTCCTTTTGGAACTAAGATCTCCAGACCCGCAGAGCGTAGGGTAGCAGGGACAGGAAGCAAAAATCTTTTGAGTGGGTCACTAGGGGTAATGGTGAGTGGTACCACTCCTGTTTCCACTCCTTAGTTCCTGGACCCATGAATCCTGGTTATTGGAGAAACAGAACTGAACACTAGACAATGGTTTAGAGCATATACAGCCTACTGGAGAACATCGCCCTTACCCTTCAAGGTATTGCCACTGAGGTGGCGCCATAATTTGTGTTATCAGTAGGCCATGCCATCATTCTATCAAGCCAGCTGCTTCAGAATGATGGGGAACATGGTGAGACCAGTAAATTCCATGATAATAGGACCACTACCGCACTTCATTTGCTGTGAAGTGAGTCCCCTGATCTGGAGCAATGTTGTGTGGGATATCATGATGGTGGATAAGGCATTCTGTAAGTCCACAGATGGTAGTTTTGGTAGAAGCATAACATGCAGGGAAGATGAATCCATATCCAGAATAAGTATCTATTCCAGTAAGAACAAAACACTGTCTTTCCATGATGGAAGTGGTTATCTGTAATCAACCTGCCACCAGGGTGCTGATCACCCCAAGGAATAGTTCCATATTGCGGACTTCGTATTGGTCTCTGCTGCTGGCAGACCGGGCACTCAGCAGTGGCAGTAGCCAAATCAGCATTGGTAAGTGCCAGTCCATGTTTCTGAGCCCATGCACAACCTCCATCCCTGCTACCATGGCCACTTTGTTCATGAGCCCATTGAGCAATGACAGGAGTAGTTGGGGAAAAAGGATGGCTGGTTTCCACTGAACATGTCATCCTATCCACCTGATTGTTAAGGTCCTCTTCTGCTGAGGTCACCTTTTAGTGGGTATTCACATGAGACACAAATATCTTTACTCCTTTGACCCAATCAGCTAGATCTATCCACATATATCTTCCCCATACATCCTTGTCACCAATTTTCCAATCACGCTCCTTCCAAGTCCCAGACCATCCCACCAAGCCATTAGCCAAAGCCCATGAATCCATATATAATTGCACATCTGGCCATTTCTTATTTCATGCAAAGTGAACAGCCATATGCATGGCTAGAAGTTCTGCCCATTGGGAAGATTTCCCTTCACCAGTGTTCTTCAAGGAAGTCCCAGAAAGGGGCTGCAGTGCTGCTGCTGTCCACTTTCAAGTGGTGCCTGAATTCACAAAGAACCATCTATAACCAGGCATGAGTTTTCTCATTCTCAGTCAAATGATTATAAGGAACTCCCCATGAGGCCATAGGTGCAGACTGGGAGAGGGAAGGTACTGTGACTGGAGTGGAGACCATAGGCATTTGGGCCACTTCCTCATGCAACTTACTTGTGCCTTCAGATCCTGCTTGAGCCCAATCTCTAATATACCACTTCCATTTAATGATGGAGTGCTGCTGTGCACATCCAACTTTATGACTCTGTAGGTCAGACAACACCCAGTTCATGATGGATAGCTCAGGCCTCATGAGTTGGTGGCCCATGGTTAGGCGTTCAGTCTCTACTAAAGCCCAATTACAAGCTAAAAGCTGTTTCTCAAAATGAGAGTAGTTATCTGCAGAGGATGGCAGGGCTTTGCTCCAAAATCCCAAGGGTCTGCATTGCGATTCACCAATATAGACATGACAAAGACTCCAAACAACATCTCTATCTACTACAGACACTTCAAGCACCATTGGACAGCTGGATCATATGGCCCAAGGGGCAGAGCAGCTGCACAGCAGCCTGAACCTATTGCAGAGCCTTCTGTTGTTCTGGGCCCCACTCAAAACTCACAGCTTTCTGAGTCACTTGATAAACAGGCTGCAGCAACACACCCAAATGAGGGATATGTTGTCTCCAAAATCCAAAGAGGTCCACCAGACATTGTGCCTCCTTCTTAGTTGTGGGGGAAGCCAGATATAATAACTTATCCTTCACTTTAGTAGGAATATATTGACATGCCCCACACCACTGGACTCCTAGAAATTTCACTGAGGTGGAAGGTGCCTGGATTTTTTTGTTGGGTTAACTTCCCAACATCTAGCAACCATATGTCTCACCAATAAGTCTAGAGTCATCGATACATCTTCCTTACTAGGCACAATCAGCATAATGTCATCAACATAATGGAGCAGTGTCATGTCTTGTGGAAGGGAAAGGCAATCAAGATCCCTATGGACTAAATTATGACATAGTACTGGGGAGTTGATATACCTCTGAGGAAGCACTGTGAAAGTATACTATTGGCCTTGCCAACTGAAGGCAAACTGCTTCTGATGATCCTTTGAAATTGGTATCGAGAAAAAGGCATTGGCCAGATCAATAGCTGCATACCAAGTACCAGGAGATGTACTAATTTGCTCAAGCAATGAAACCACATCAGGAACAGCAGCTGCAATTGGAGTTACCACCTGATTAAGTTTATGATAATCTATTGTCATTCTCCAAGATCCGTCTGTTTTTTGCACAGGCCAAATAGGTGAATTAAATTTGGATGTGGTGGGAATCACCACCCCCTGCAACCTTCAAGTTCTTGATGGTGGCAGTAATCTCT